TATTATATGCGCGTGTAAATTAGAAAAGGATAAATAAGAGTCATAGAGTCGAATTCTATGTAAATCATTACACGCAATTATTCCGATTCTAAAAGAGACCAGTGGGGGCCACGTTTCCTCGTTTCCTAATGAATTTTTGAAATCATTTGAAACATTCTTGAAAGCGGGTCAAAAAATATTCTGAAAACAACGTAATACTATATACATTATCCTTCATAAATTGAAACAAGAATGAAGAAAATTCACCAATACACCGCCTCTTCTCTGATTTTATTAATTAAGGAAAGCTTCACGAATAAAAACTTCCAGTATTAATTAACCGCATTTTTACGAATGATATATTACTTAGTAATGATTCGTGAATAGTACAATAATATCGTGGGAATAATTATAGCTCTCTGTATGTGTGAAAATCCCAATTTTCATCTAAAAATTGAGCATGCGTGAAACTCAGACAGCTGATTGCCAGATGATATATCAAAGCAACTATCCCAATTTCATTAGATTATATGACAAGCTAAGTTATTGATATAGATTATTTTTAACCCACAGTAGATTATGTACTAAGAATTATTAATTCATAATTATTAATTAGTAATTTTTTAATTACTTCTTAATTAATTTTAATTATTAATTATTAACTATTAACAATCAATTAGTATATTGTAAATTGCATGACAACATTAAGGTCAAACTTTAAATGGCATTTGTAAACACTAATGTGTTTTTGTTTAATTGTGGACTGGATACCTTGCTTATAACATAATGATATTCAACTTGCTTCATATAAACCTTTAATATGAAATGGGATTTATAATTAAATGTTGATAAAAAAGTTTACCCTGTAGATTATTTAATCTTATTGTAATATTAATTTTTACCTTTAAAATTCTTGGTTGACAAGAACAATGTATTTCAATATTTCAACATGAAAAGCTACTAAAGTACTACTAACTAAATTAGTTACAAAAAACTTGAAATTATTTGTAATTTTAAGTAATTTGTTCGTGAAGAATAATAAATATTATGTGATAGTACAGTTTATTAAAAGTGTAATGCTTTAGTGTAAAACTTTATAAAAAGTATAAACTGAAATAAGGAAAACCAGACATAAAATAATGAAAGCGTATTTTTATTTTAATATTTTGAATAACAAAATCATTTTACCTCTAAAAAAACTATATTATGCCCCTTGAATAACTTATTTTAATAAAATAAAAAATGTTTAATTTATCGTCATTTTAAACTTCTATCCTTTTTATTTTAATACATTATTTATTTGTTTAAAAGTTTTATTTATAAAATGTTTTCTATTTTGATTCTATAAACATTTTAAAATATTTTAATATCTATATTTACAAAGCATATTTTGTAATATAACTGTATCATTGGATATAATAATAATTAGAATTAAAAATGTAAAATAAAATATATCTATAATTAATGCACAAATATAAGTACTTATCGCGCATTTTATATGAATATGATTGGTTAGATAGGACTCATCACAGATGATGGCGGTACTGAAATGAAAAGAATGAATCTTTTGAGTGGGTCTCCTGTACGTAGTCGAAGTGGTTATTATTATTAAGTTATTATAATTAAGGAGGTATGTATTAGTCAATTATTGAGTGTCAGTGGTTTTGATATTGAGTTCGACTTTTAGCTTATACAAACAATGGATCATCCAAAACACTGAGAGACTCTAAAACAAGCTGTAAATAACTATCTAGGATCAGTAAGCTTACCTTAGTCAAATAAAAAGATGCACCGCAAAAATAATTTTGTTTTTTTGTCTGAAAATTTACTTATACTGTAGGTATATGTTACCCTTTTTATACTTTTTCACTGTGCTCATAATATATCAACCATTGTCCTACAGTACTTTGATGCATCTAATTCGATACATAGTTATTGTTTGAAAGAAAGGAGGCAACTTAATCATTTGCAAATATGAAGATAAATGAAAGTTGATAGATCGCATTAAATAAAAGGGAAAATGTCTTCGTTTTACATTTTATTTTTTTATTCTTATTAGGGAGTTGTTCGTTTTATTATTTCAGAATTATAATATTTTATCTACTTAAAAAATACCATTATGTTCTTTGATGAAATCACAACAATTTTCTCAATTAATGAACTACTTCTATCTTTTGAAGTTTTTTTCTATCATATATCAAGTAAAATACAATAAATCTTATGTATTAAACTCCTGCACTAAATACAATTCTTTTGATGACATTAAGTTTATTATTTCGGATCAATTAACTACTTAAGATATTACAATTTTTAGTGAATGATTTTTAAATACTAATATATTCTTTAAATATAGTGCAAAATATTATTCAGAAAATGTACATGACAAATATTATTAATTTATCTCAACGACTTTCTCTCTCTCCTGTACCATACTTATGTTATTTATAAATTTTGTGTGAGTGTAATTGTATTTAAAAGATATAGAGAAAAGGTGTGAAATTAATACTGGGAAATATAGAAATTTACATATTAATATTATTTTGGTATCTATTCATATAATCTTATAATTTATTTAAATCAAATTATTTTTGAAGTAATTGTAAAAATGTGTGTTCGAAATATAGTGATGTAATTCTTGACTCAAGCTACCAATGCTTCAATAGCTTAATTTGCCGCCGTTCTCGCAGACGCTCGAGAAGGATTTAGGTGGAAGGGGTGTACAAGAGTCGTGAGAGTTGTTTAATTATACATTTATTATACAATTTATTACACAATTTACATATGGGTGGTTTTGAATTTTCTTGAATATAATGTGAAGATACGCTTCTTATATAGAAGGTGTCACTACACAAGATGCTCTTGAAATCGTTTAATTATGATGTTGTGCCGATCATTGCCGTAGGCGAGCAAGAATGATGAGGTTGCGCGGACAGTATACTCACAGTGATGCAGTATCTTGATATGATCCTGGTTTGAGTGATTTACCACAAAGCACGCGGCACACAAACGTGCGTGGTCGTCCGCCCGTCTTATAAGTGAAGTGATAACATCAAGTTGGCCACAAAAAACACGCCGCAAACACAAACGTGAGTGGTCGTCCTTCCCGTCGACGGTTTATCACAAAACACGCGACAAAGACTAACGTGCGTGATTGGCCTTCCGTCGGCGATTGAATACTACGGTTGATGTATCTTTTTTTGGTCAGTGGATCTCCACAAGTACTTGATTACTAGTTTACCAATTCGTACGGGTGCGTAAAGTTCCCTGCTGACCTGTCTTCTCTTCCAGAAAGCCCATTCCTCTTGACTTTTCTTACGAAACAGTGGCCCTCTGCTGTTTGTCCCCACCTTTAAGGCGTCTTGTCATGAGTCCCCACTCTAGGAGCTTCTGGTGTTAGTTTTCCAATCAGAGCGCACCGCTTTTCGGAGCTATGCTAATTGTACACACCCTTTTCCCACTTCCGAGGAAATTAGGCATGGACAATGAGAATGTCAGAAGAACATCGCTAGCAGCAACGCCTCAAGTGGAGGATTTGTCCCTCACCGGGACTCATTGTGGTGGGAGTTGATTCTTGATCAAGTGTCTTCGCCTAGTCGATGCAAGCGGCAACATTTGTCGTACTTGACAACAATGCATGCTTGTTGGTGGCATTGAAGGCACACGTGCGGCGCAGATTGCCGAATTTCGGGTTGCAATAGATTTTAGGAAATGTTTTTCACTCGATTGTTTTCAAATATCTTTCGCCTCAAAATATTCTCGCGTAAACAGGCTGGCCGGGTTTTGATGGTAAATAGCAAGGGCTGTTTATTGCATTAATAACAATTACTACATCTGTAGTACGAAGAGCAATAAAGTGGCTGTTTACGAGTATATTCCAGATGTACTAACTAACCTTTTCGAGCCTTCAGCAACCTTGGCAAGACTTTCTTAGATTTTTATGTCCGTTCGATAATTCTTTTATAATAGACGTTGAAATTTTCCTAATGAATACAATTCGAGAGATTTTAGTTTCACTCACGAACAGTGTGTAACTGCAAAACTAATTCAAATATGAAAGCTTATCATTTGTGAAAGAAATTTATCATTTGTTTTATTTATTTATTAATAGAAATAAGAATCAGAGATGCCTGTTAATAAATCACCAAATAGAAAAAGTATTCGTATTTAATTTCTCTATTATTAACACAATAAATATAAATATAATAAAATATGAAATGAAAATTTATAACTGAAAAGTTAGTGAAGTCTTCATACTAGTTTCTTTTGAAACGAATTTGATTTTTCTTTATATAAATATATTTAAACTTTTAAAATTTATTAACAAATATTATATTTAGTATTCATACGATTTACCTCACATTAATTTGTTTTTCCCTTGTAGTGAGTAAGTTAAACTTTAATAAATATTTTATTAATATTTAAAATATGACCGATATTTTTTCGTTTCTTAATAGTGCTACTTTTGTCATTACTTCATTCAATATGTGAAGACATATTTGATAATGGTTTAAATAAAATTTTATTTTTTTTATTTATTTCATTTGCGTTTGTTAAAATGAATTGTTCACTATTCATTTCATTAAGAAATATTGACTATCGTTTCACATATATGATATACACTAATTTTATAATTTTTTGTAACTGAATGTATTTTAAGTTAATTATCGTAACATCGAAAAATATTTTTTATTTTTCTACTGTAAAAGTAACGATAAATATTATAATAATTATGTTATATTTATTAAGTAGTTTAATATAATATAGTTAGGCGTATATAAAAAATATATACTGTTAGTAAAATACAACTGGTAATAAATTTAATATTTTTAATTATTTTCAATTTCTTCCTAAATCACATTACTTATTTATATAATTTAGTCCTTTCAAATAATTTAAGAAAATTTTAGACAACTTGCTTACTATGTATCTGTTCTCCCTGTGAATTATTGGGCAGCAATTATATTAACTATTATAAAAATCTTATTCGTATTTAACAGAGTTATGATTTCACATGTTCATAGGGTCGATGTAATCGAGAGAAGCCACCGTGTAAGTACTTTCATCCACCACAACATCTTAAGGATCAACTCCTAATAAACGGGCGAAATCATCTAGCCTTAAAAAATGCTCTCATACAGCAAATGGGTCTTAGTCCTGGCCAGCCTCTCGTACCTGGTCAGGTACCTACAGTGGTACGTAAAGTCCAAAGACATATAATCAGTGTTATGAGCGCACCTCCTCCACCGTACCCCTTTCTACGCATCATCGCTTTCGATTACTCTCTACTTTGTCACTCATTAACAAAGTATTTTTATAAATAGGACTATCATTACTATTGTTTTACTTATACATTTCTTAACTCTACTTTTTAACATTACTATTATTACTAATTATAATAATTATTAATATAAATTATTATTAATATTATTTATTTTATATTAATATCCTTGTGATTTTTGTTCTTATTGTTGTTGTTATTATTAATATTATTGTTATTATTACTATTATAATTGCTATTATTACAAACTTTAAATTCTTCGATTATAAGGAGTTAGCGATACAAAGTTTTCAATAGATGTAGTTTTTGATACAACAAGCGTTCTTTTGAAATTTTTACACCAAAATACCTTAATTATAAATGATTCAAATTTTATAATATTGACAACTTAAAAAAATGTTATTTTTTTATTATAGTATATGTTGTATATTTTCAATTTAATTGGATTTGTACTGTATTTGATATACTATAATAAGTAGCTGTTATAACGTTTTTTGTACCAAACGAGTGCATTAAAAAAGTAAATAATATGTCTGTAATACGCATGTTATTTTTCAGTGTCATTCTTTTGTCGAAATCTATTGCGCAATAGCTTTTTCAATCGCAAAATATCATATTTTAATACCATAAATTTGAAACAGATCTTTTATTTAATTTTCCTAGAAGTAAAAAGTAATGTACGATAAGAATTTATATTTTATTCATTTCTAGATTTTTCTATGAAAGATCTGATTTAAATTCCCCCCACTATTTTTATGCGACGATCATTCACGAAGATACTTAAAATACTAATGTAAATTACCAAGAATTCCATTATAAAATCCTGAATTTTATACTTTTTATTTTAGTATTTCCGTTTACATAAAAAAGATTTATATATATAGTTTCATTTTGCGATAAAAGAGACTTTGATTCTTTACTATATTTAAAAATCTGTACTTCCTTATACATATAAAGAAAAAAATTGGTATTTAGCTAATTAATGATGATGTTTTCCATAAATTTTTATAAATTACGATGTTAATATTAACATTGACGTACGATCATATAAGCTGAATCGAAGAAAAGAAATGTATATAAAGGTCAGATTCAGATCAATACTGAATATGAAAAAGTTTATTCCCGTCATTGGTTTTACGAATAGAATTAAGATTTGGGTCATCTAACGCGTGCACGAAAATCATTCACATTTGATACGACTAGCTCCTACTTATTCCTTAATATGCAAATAATCATCGCGCCCCCGCAACACTCGTCTTTTTTCTGTGCAATGTGACGACATGGAGTCCTTAATACACGTATGACTGCCTGTCTGTTCCTCATGTTTGCCGCTGTGGTGCGCTCGTTCGTGGTTGTGGTTGATTGTTGGTGTATTCTCTCTCCAATTACCCGTCATTGGCGGATTATACATAGGAGGCCCAACCTCCTGCGCCATCACACCAGCACCTTCAACAGCAAATCCAACAGCAACTGCTCGCTACCCACGCTCTTATGGTAACTCCTGGTTTTGGTTTGGCCTTTACTAATTTTTTTACTTTTTCGTGATTGTTTCGTTTGTCTTTTTTTCTTTTTTTTTTCTTTTTTTTTCTTTTTAATTCTGAACACATTCGAATGCAACAACCTAAGTCTACGCATATGCAGTATAAAAGGTTATTTTCCATATTATGTGTGGATTCTAAACTAACCTTATATCATTAATTTTGTTATGAATTGATTGATGTAAAATTTCACACGAAAAAAAAAATTTATAAAAGTCTGCTATACAATAGGTTGTTGTGTTGAATGATTACTTCTTGTAGCTAGTACACGATTAAGTGGAAGCTTACAAATCGTCGACGTTTGAATGCCACATGAAGCACCAGTATTAAAGCCGTAGATTTTTTTCTGCATGATTTACACGCAAAATCTTTAAATAGCAGTTAAATATTATAAGGCCGTGTTGATATAAGCTTCCTTTAATAATCTGTACCGAGAAACGCGGGAGGAAAATTGTAACTAATTACGTAGAGAAGTTTTTTTATGTTATCTGCAATTGTTCTTAAATTGTATTTATTATTTTTTGGTATTTAAATTAATTAAAATATAGATTTTAGTCTTCCCGCGATTCCATTATTAAATTTATTATTATTTTTTTTTATTATTATTATCGTGCATTCATATTCAGATACGCTTGAAACAAACTACATTCGCTTGTGAAAATTAGTTGCTGCAGAATACATATAGATATAAAGTGAAATATTTTTGCTTCAGTGTTCAGCATGCAGTGGGAAACAGGTGAATGAAGAAAGTAAACTGAAACGAATCCAAGGTTCAGGCATAAAAAATATCTGTTAATTATTCGATCATTTTTTAATCGAATACCATCTCGATTGAAAAATCTATACTTTTTATTGTATACTATTTATTGAAAATTTATTTCCAATAAATAATAATTAAAAACAATAAAATTGACTTTCAATATTTGATATAGTTTCTGACTTTAATATCTTTGAAAATAAATGACTCCAGATTAATGCTTAAAAATAATAATCTGAATTCTATAAGTAATTAAGCAGTACATTGATGAAACGTCCTTACTTGGTTGAGTAAAATTAATAACAAAAATAATATTCATTTTTAAAATGAAATTTAAAACAAAATAAGTTCATCTTTAATTATTTTACGATTATGAACCTTGTATTGCGTTTCAATAATTTTATAAACACGATCTTTGGTAACAATTTACTTAAATATTTGCAAATATGATACTTTTGAATCAATATTTGTATACTTGTACAGAAAAAATATATTTTATAAATTGAATTGGAATAATTTTTATACGACTATTAGTAAAGAAATTAAAAAAATTCTACAAAGTAATGCATAAGCCTTCTACGAAATGTGCATGACCCGTAAAAAAGTGATAGTTACCAAAGTCAAAAATTATAAATTGGCGTATCTAAAGAAAAATAAAGTAAGACAAGTAACGAATAAAGCCACTGGAGGGTGGAATATTCTGCACATACGTATACAACTAACATTGGGATTCGTCCCATATTCTCTCTTTCTCTGAACCGACTGTTTCAGGCTACAAATCCCTACCTGACCGGCATGCCGCAGGTCGGCAACACATATAACCCGTACTTCGCACCCAGTCCGATAATGCCGGCTATTATGGGTCCGGCAGATCCGACAGGTGTTGGCAGTCCCCTTGGCGTGGTTCCACAAACGGTGGCGATGCCGCAGAAGATGCCCCGTACGGATCGGCTCGAGGTATGTCTACCAGTGAACTACATGCGCCAGGTGGCGGCGGCTGCCCACGGTTGCCATGGGTCCCACGCCCCGCCACCTCCACAGATCTATCAGGCACCCAACGGTAACGTAGGGCCACAGGCCGAACCCCAAAGACGCGTCTCACCTGTCTCTACGATGCAGTCGCAGTGCAGTCACAATCAGTCGCCCTCGCTCACCATTACTTCCCACATATCCTGCACGAGCGCTGTAGCTCTTACCCCTGTCGGCACACCTCTTCACAATCCTCATCCAGGACCTCTGCACAATCCTCTACGCAATCTCGTTTATGTACATACCTACTACGAGGGTTCTTACGTGCCCATTTACGTACGTACGTAGCTGACAAGTAATGAGCTCACCGGTAGCAACGAGTTTTATACTCCTTGTCTTCTTTTCTTTTCTGCGTTTTTTACTAATTTTGTGCAGACGTTATTATTTTAACGTTCACTTATGTTTTCCACCACTGTCAAATTGCATATTTTGCATAAATATATTTTTTATTTTTTATATTTGTATATTTTATGCTTTATCGAAATTTAAATTGATCAAAATAAATTCGTGCCCGTACAATATTATGACAACGTTTAATTCTTTTCGCAAAAAGTATTCACAGTATTTCGTTATTACTTATAAACATAATTTAAACAAATCTTTATTAATCTTACTTTTTATTAATCTTTACTACCTATTACAAGATTTTACATATTTAACTTAAAATAAAAAAAATTTTAAATTTGGAATGTAATTTTCGTTTGTAATTAGATAATTATTTTATGTTGTGACTAAATATAGATATCATTATATAGTCCGGTCTAAGAAAATATTCTTATTATTGTCACATATTGAAACCCAAGTAAAAGTGTTCATTATAAAAACAATAAAACTTATAAATCGACTAATATACATTTAAGGTTGAAAATATGAAATCTCGCGTCTTAAAAATTGTAGAAAATGTTATAATATTCAGTTTGAAGTCGAATATTTCTTTTTTTTACCAAGCCTTTATGAAATAAATTGTATTATACGAATACAATATTATTAATAATAATAATAAGAATAATATTAATAATAATAATACAAGCTTCCGTATAATTCTTATTGCTTATCTTCTACTAAAAGAAATTATAGAAAAAAATATTTGTATAAATGAATGTGGGCAAACTAAAGCTTTATTTAATTTCACAAAATGAAATGTTTTGAGATAATTCACACAATTATATTATAGGTATCAAATATGTAACTATTAGTGAGCAAATATAAATTTCAGTTTCTACTACTTACACAAAAAATGTACTATGATTAAGGAAAATCAGTTATTGAATATTTAAAAAGTTTAGATAATTTCATACTATGTAAATTTTACAGTACTGACATGTACGAACATAAAAACTAGTACACAACATACACTCAATACAAATTTATTCGCTCTAAAAATGTATACTTTATGTGGTTAATTAGTCAATAAGGAATTGATATATATATAGCAGAGAATATAAGTGAGGAAGAGAAAGAGATAGAGAGAGAGAGAGAGAGAGAGAGAATGAGTGAGAAAGAAGATGGAGCGAAAGGTCGGGAAGATGGGAGAGGAGAGTAAAAGAAAATTAAATATATTTTTATTATCAGATATTTTTATATCGTAGAATGTTTATTAATAGAAAGAAAACTACATAAAAATTACACGAATTTTTTTGTTAAGAGACTGAAAAATGTTTATTTTTTTATGTACATCTAGTGATTAGAATACTTCAAAATTTTTGTACTGTTTAAAAGTATATAGAAAAAGTACAACTTTCGTTTAAGGAAAATTGTATATAAGTCACTTAATGATGCACTGGTGAAGAAAAAACGAGCTGTTGGGTTTAGTCTACCGAAAATTTGTATACATGGCTCACTTTTTCATTCAACGTCGTACGATTGTTATAGCTTAATTTACAAAAGGAAAATGTTACAGGAAAGAAAAGATAGATAAAGAGATAGAATGAAAATATTTGATAGAAGTACAAGAAGCATATATTCTCGCGTATGTGTGCTCAATGATTAAATATTTCCCAAAATATTCCCGTAAAGGAGATGAAAACATTATTTAGTTCCGCCCTCGCTTCTTATTTATTGGTGCAATTTAAAAAAAAAACAAGAATACGAAGATAATATATAAAAAACAAAAATGATAATAATAAATATAATGATAAATTATTATTATTTCTTAAAATGAAGTGACGATGTAATACATAATAATGCTGTGTGAGGGACGATTGTGTAATATTATATTTGCTTTACTGCGAGTGGTATAAAAACATTGAAGAAATTATGATAATATTAAAACAAATATTACAATAGAAGTGATCTAAAATACGAAAAATAAAAAGACTATTAAAATTTCACAACTCTTCTCTCAAGCGTAAAGAATGATATTTTTTAAGAGATAAATAATTCTCATGGTATTAAATATATATAAGAAAAAGAGAAAATTAAAATGAAAAATGAATAATTTATATTTGATGACTTATACAAGCATCGCACTCAATGAATCAAATGATACGCAATTGATTTACGTAAATGACAATTTCAATACATTTGAGATAGTATTACAAATATAACTTTCGCAATTATGAATTATGATGACCAGCACTATTATAGTATTTATTTATTATTATTTTGTTTTATTATTATTTTTATTACTATGTAAATTTATTATTCCGATTACTATTGTAATGTGATCTTTACGATTGATCCTGTATTTATTAAGGTATATACATATTTATATTATTATAAATAACTAATCTATTATATATAATTATTATATTTATATATGTTCGGAATAATTTTTTATTTATTATATTCTGATTACAAATACTTTGATTCGATGAATATTATAACTTCAACTATGTATAAAATTACATAGAATAAAAAAAATGCGCCCAAGTACGATCTTCGTCTTTATATGCACACACATATAGACATATGTATAAATAGTAGATAGGTCAAACAAATTATTTCTTTATATTTTTATAGACAATTAATTAGTGTTTATAGTAATATTCAAATTTTTACTCAAGTATCTATTATAGCTTTTTGTATTATAATGTGATTAATTTAAAAACGATAAACAGATTTTTGACCCATTAATTATTTCTTTTCATTCTCAAAGAAATTACACACACACACACACACACACACACACACACACACATATATATATATATATATATATAAAGTAAATTCTGTATGATAATATTTTACATTCGCAAACATCTCCTTAATCTCTTTACTGGTGATAATTCTTACTTATTTCTTTTTATCTTCCTTATTTTTCAAAATGGATAAAAAAATTTTTCCTTAATATTGAGAAAAAACTTTTCAATTCCTTAACAACTATTTTATTCGACGGTTTACTATTTGCCATGTATTTATATTTTATATGTATTATACAATAAAATTTTGAAGAAATCAGGGGAAAAAATTGAAGAGATGAAAAAAACCGGAATAATTAAAATAAACAAAAATTAATGTGCTCGCCAAATGTGATATGACATTGTCAACTGAATATTGATAATAAATAAATGACAAAGTATCGCAACAAGCACGATTAAATTGACATATTTCATAAATTAATCATATATTATAATAGTAATGAATAAATCGATTGTTCATCACATTTTTCGACTAATTTTCATATTAATGACTGTCGAATTCGCTATATTAAGAATAATGAATACCCGCCGATAATGACGAGGATGGTTAATAAATAATCATATTAATAAAAACTATTTGTGATTATGTAATCGCAACGACTTCCATTAGGATCGTATCATGCGATACATTTTGATGCTGGTACTTAAATAAAACTAATGTAAATGAAACTAAAATAACAACTTAGACTAATTTCATTGTTCTCTCATCAGAGATGTATTAAATACTTATTTTAACACATAAAAGGTATATTTTTTAATAATTGCTTTTAATTTTTATTATTAATAAATATAAATTAAAAATTATTTTGACAATTATGATATATAAATAGTAATACATTATTTTAACAATCTTTAATACATACATTTATGTAAATTTTTTTGTAATATTAAACTAGAATTTTGAAAAACTTTATTCAAATACATTGAATTATATTTCATTAAGAACCAGTAATTTCTTTTTGTGACTGTAGACAATATTATCCCTTTTGATCGAAATCGTATTCACTCCTTATCCTCAATCATTTAAAGATTATCGTTTGCAAATTGTACTCTTGAATTATTCCTATTTGAGAGTTTTCAGTTCTAGTTCTCTCAGATCTAAAGAGATTATATATCGACGTATTTTTTAATTTTTATTTATATTTGCAATATATTTATTGCAAAGATTTATAAATAATGCTATAATTTCAATAACGTTTTGATTTTTTGTTTAAAAAAAAATATGAAGATTTTTGATCATTTAAATACTGAAAATTAACTCCAATCAATATTATATAACTTTTTAGCGAATGAAAGTAGTGTAATGCCAGGTTGCATCAGTTTTTTGTTATTATTTTATTTTGTTTTGCTTAATCTGTTTATGTGACGTTATAATTATAATTTCGAAAATAGTCTTGCGCATTCACCAACAATTATAAAATAGAAACTAAAAATTTACAAAAGATTGTTATATATTATCTGTAACTGCCTCGTTATGTGAAACATATTTTTTTATCATTAATAAAAATGACTAATTTATTTTTTATAATTCTTTCTCATTTAATGCCAGGTAAACACTAAACGTCTATTTTCTCTTTCTCTCTCTCTCTCTCTCTCTCTCTCTCTATATATATATATATATATATATATATATATACCCATCTCTATCTCTCCGTGTTTATCTATTTATATTTATTTCTTTTTTACTTTCTTGCTGATACTCTTCCATTTGCGAATGTGGAAATGTCGATGTGTCAAGCTAATAATTGTTCTATTAATTTTCAGCTATATAAGCTTAAAAATTATATATGAAGAGACAGTATGAAGAAAATAAAAATCCATAAAAATACATTATATTATATAAATTTTTCTTAAACAGTACTGTTTCCTCTTATATAAATAACAGTAATTTTTTTATAATTTTAATTCGTATATTTATTCGCTAATTTGATTAATTTTTTGACAAATATGACACTCATTATTTTTACAGCAATAGGAGATGGGGCTTAGAGCAAGCGCATGTGAATTTTTAAATGTATTGTATATATATCTTATTTATTGTAATAGATGTACAGATGTTACTACACTTACATAGATACGAAACAAAAATTAGAATATAATTTAATTCTTATATAATTTAATGCAAATTAATTTTTAAAATCGTGTTAGTGTTTTTTACATTCATTTCATTGGTTTAAAATAAATATATTTATTTACTTGAAGTTACTATAACTTAGTTAAATTACTATTCCAATTAGTGTTAAATGTTAATCTTGGCAATGAGACAAAACAATTATATTTATTGCGCTTCTTTATTAATATTGTAACGTTGATATTAAATATTGATTATATGAAACATTAATTTATTAAGTAAATTAAATTAATAAGTACAACGCCTGTTTAAATCGAACTTCTCAATATCTGTTAAATAATTACATTATTTCCAAATATAAATATAAAACATTCACATATCAAAAGAATTCAATACACTGGTATATTCGAAGAACAAAATAATAATTGCACTTATATATATCTATACATATGTAATTATATATATATGTATATATATTTTTTAATTTATGAATGATAAATTAGTATTTGATAATGTGATATCTTTTATCTATTTTTAGATCTGGAATAGTCTGTATAATCTGGAATAGGCCTTTTGAGAGTAGTATTGCAATGATGTTTTAATTAACATAATGCAATATAATTATTTTTTAATAAGGTCTCTATTATTTGATATCATAGTTTACTATAAAACTTCTTGTACATCCGAAGATTTTAATAAAATTGGCTTTTAATTTAATAATTTTATTTATTTCAGTCGATTAATTTGCAATTGATTCTTCTTTTCTAAAAAAGTATTACATGTAAATAAAGTATTACATGTATATTAAGTATCAACATAGTGCAGTTTAATTTATATCAAAGTTTTGACATGTTTGATATAAATTCAAGTTGTGGAACATACGCAACTGTATAACATTAAGCTCTACATATTTCAAACAAATTATCAAACAACATATAAAACATATTTACTATAAATGTAAATACACATAAAGGGAGTTGAAAATATTAGTTTATATAATTATTAATGAAATAAAATAATACATAAAACCGAACTGAAATTTGTGCAACTATATTGATGATTAAAAAATAGTGTGGTTTCAAAATAAAATAAATAATTATCATAGCATAGAAGTGATGGTATTAGATTTATTTCAGGAATGGACTAGAGATGGGATATTCTTATATCAGATGTGCATGCTCCATTTTCTCACATTTGCTTACTCTACGCTGTCTTTCATTCTATTCCCGAAATACTTTCCTTCAAATACTATTCAATGCTTTTTACAATATGTGCTTTAATTAAAAAGATTTATAATGTTGTACTACTCTAAGAAGTATTGTCTATTATTTCTTTAGTTACTCACTTTGTATTTTTATTACTATTAAATATGTTAGTGTAGGTAGTTGGATCACAGAAATAGTTTGTCTGCGTTCACAATTTTGAAATGCTTGAAATAAAAATTATTCTTAAAGTTATTAAAATTTTAGATAGTTTAAAGTATATATATTTGAGTACGATTTTTATTTTCTTCTTATTTCCCTTGCGTTCATATATTATTTTAGAATACATAGAATTCTGTGTGATATCGAACTTTTCCTCAAATATATGAAAGTCCGATTCTTTGAAGCTTCCTGGACATATATTATATAAGTGGTATGCTATATATCCGACCTTAATAGAAAACGTTAACCGAAGTAATTTAAATCTCAATGTATTTATTTATATCTATGACATATATGCAGACATTGAGCTAAGGCGGTTGAATTTCTTGGTGGCTCAAATAGAAATAAAAGTTACGTTACTGCTTGTGTATGATTCTCTTTTATATAATTTTTAACTATGTATTTATTTGTATTTGTGATATCCTGTAAAATGCTAATCGACATATTGACATACCTAAACAACATATTTGTTAGTGCTTACAAATATCCCGGTAGGCTAGTGTCTGGCCATTAGCTCTCTCTCTCTCTCTCTCTCTCTCTCTCTCTCTCTCTCTCTCTGTGTCCATGTGTATATGGATAATGCGCCTGTATGCACGCGCGCGTATATCGTTCAAATCTCGCATCCCGATTATTTGGCAAATTAATTTAGGTATTCTTTCCGATACTGAGGAATGATTGAATAAATATCGATGAGAATTACGTACACCTTATAAATTGAGCATAATATTTTGTTTCAATAAATTATTATCTTTAATATTGGAAATGTAATTGTTAGTATTTGAAAACTTAATGCATGCATTCTGACTTTCTAATCGATTAAATATTTATATTTTAATAAGAATAATCAGTAAATAGATATGTAGAATAGATTTATAAAAAAATGATTCATATTCAAATTAAATTTCAGATATATTGTATCAGAGGATGTTATCAGAATAATGATGCTTATTTAAAAAGTAAAACAGATTATTCGGAATATTTGTAATAATATACGTAAATCTCTCACAAGGTACTCGATCATTGCTATTGTATTCTAACCCTGACTATGCATAAACTTCGATAACATATTGAATATTATGTAGAACTTTTCTTTTACTTTATATCAATATGTGGTTCAGGAACTAGCACTAATATACTCGCTTTAATTATGCGTACAGCGTTGATGTATTATTACGTGTTATGTGTATGAATTCTACAATAATATTTCACAAAGATATTTCATAATCGGTAAAGTAAAATTAACAAATAATTTTACTGTAATGTATAGTTATAGGTGTTGCATTTATATTTAATAAATTGATACTGTTTTGGCAATTTTCATTGTATTAATGTTTACAATTGAAAATGACTATATCTTTATCATTTTATCATAAATTTTAGAAAGTTTGTATTTTTCATAATTTATATTTTACTATTTGGAAAAGAAATAATTTGCATGAAGCAAATTGTGATTGACATATTTAAATTTTTTTACATTTTCAATTGTTTTTTATTAAATATTAATATAGATTTTGCATATCAAAATTTGTAAAAAAAAACGTATTAATTGACATACATAGATGTAACGTATAAATAGAAAAGTCGTAGAAAAAACTTTTAAAGCATCGTTATAAGTCTCATTAATTGAAAGTATGAAAAATTTTTTTTAATATAAAAAGTTTAAGATTATATTTATATATTAAATTTCAAAATTAATATATATTAATTATTCAACATTTATTTCAAATTCATTTTAAATTATGTGATATGTGCCATATGTCTCGTAAATATATATATATATATATTGTTTTTTTTAGATACAAATGTTATTAGCTCCACCGTAATAATTGTGCGCTCTCTTTCTCACACTCCATTTTTTTCATTGCTCCTACATTCGATTATTTATAAATAGCTCTCTCTCTCTCTCTCTCTCTCTCTCTCTCTCTCTCTCTATATATATATATATATATATATATATATATATATAGATATACGTTCTTTCCTACATTTTTATTTCTTTAATAGAGGCGTTGGTTCTACCGAGCAATGATCTCGGTGCAGCCATCGTGCGCTAATGAATATATGAAAAAAAGAATAAACAGTCAATAAGAGAATATAAATCCATATCAGTATTATTTTCCAAAAAAAAGTAACAAGTGCTCCCATAGACATAGTGCCGATGCCATGCGTGTTCGCTCTTGCTGTAGGTATGTCGCGAGTTTCAACGCGGGGCGTGCAAACGCGGCGAGACGGAGTGCCGGTTTGCGCACCCCCTCGAGACGGTGCAGGCGAACGAGGACGGCTCTGTGACGGTCTGCATGGACGCTGTCAAGGGCCGATGCAATCGGGACCCCTGCCGCTATTTCCACCCCCCTCTGCACCTTCAAGCCCACATTAAGGCCCCACCACCTCGGGCTAGCATTGCGGTAATGCATTCTCTGTCTGTCTGTCTGTTTCTCTGGTTCTCTTTACCGCTCCTCCCACTCTCTCTGTCCATCAATCTATCTATCTATCTAACGTAATTTCCTTTTCATATACAGGCACGCACATATACTCTCTCTCTCTCGATTTATTTCATTTCTTCTATTTTAATTTTGATTCTCTATTTATTTACAATTAACTGATTCCTCATTTTTATATTATGCTCTCCATTCTTCCTCACTCTAATATAATAAATTATTTACATTATTTAGAAATAAAATGATAAAATTTTGTAATAATACATACTTAAAGTGAATATTTAATAATTATTATTCAATTTTGGAATATTTTAAAATTATACTTTTCATAATAAACTTATGTTAAATAACAGAAAAATAATATTTTTATCATGTTTTTCAAATTGTAAACTATTCATGTTATTTTATGTCTGCACAATACTACTTAGAAGCATAAAAATAGTATTGACGTTTATTTAAATTACAAGAAAATAGATTATTTGTAGTTAATTAATAACTTGTTTTGTAATTTATTAACAGAATATTGCAGTTCCATATCTCCTTCTCGGTTTTATAACTATGTAATTACATTTAAAATTTTCTCTTTAACATTGAGTTTCTTTGGGTGTATTTCAATGAAGCTTCTGCTGCTGCGCTGCTTTTTGCCAATTTGCAAAATTTTTAAGTTTCACTTACAGTTGTAGTGAAATCTCCATTTGAGTTAAATTATTGCACTGTAAATATATAAACATTTATAAAGTATTCATATGTAAGAGATAGAGGAACAACCAGGAGTATTGGCTAAATGTTGCGCAGTGGTTACGCCGCTGATAATTATATCATGTGTTGAAATATAATATTTTTTTCTTTTATTTATTTATTATTTTTTGACAAATTTACCAAAAAAAAAATCCTAATCATCTTTATAAACATTATTCAGTAAACAGTTTTTAACACTGGTATCATTGTCTCGGTTTTCACATTCACATTGTAATTATTGCGTAATAATCTACTATTATTGCGTTATTGTGCCTCGTTTCAGTTTTTCGATATCCATACATCTTTTTTTCTTCATTTTAAATCGTGAACAAAGTATGTTGCTTTTATGTTTATCCATCTATTATTCTGTTTGGCGTACATAGTTGTGATTATCGTATTTTAGTGAGTAGTACGAAAACCAGTAATCTTTTTATTGTCACTGTCACTACTATTCTATTTCTCTCTTTCTAGCAGCCTATCGCAGCTACCAGGTGCAAATATACCTATAGACGTAATAAACACCAATCACCAGATCGCGAGTTCCATATAGCAATATATAAATGTTGTTAACATTCGTGAATTTTTTTATATCTGCTCCATTCTCTCCGCGCGCACTCAGCATCAAACGAAACTCATGGCTCACCTCATTGAAAGTTCTATTTTGACTTCATTTAATCCATAAATTTTTCTTCTTGATTTCTTTATTTTATGCTCGTTCATTTTCTTGAAGTACGTTATATACATTGTATAAAAAGCAAGTAAAAGAAACAAAAGAAACAAAGTACGCAGTAACGTGATATCGAGCGAGTGAAGGAGAATGGAGTGAGAATATAAAGTTAAAATAAAATTAAAGTAACGAGTACATACATTTCGTTCAAACACCCCGACACAAACCTGCTGACAAGCTGTGCTGCACGAACCCCAACTATATCAACCCTGCTGCTGTTTGCTGCCCTACACAAAGCGCTATATTCAAATTTTATTAGTGGAAGATAATTTAAATAAAACAAAGATAAATAACGTAACATACTGATGGGAATATGGATATTGTTGATTAAACAATATATTAAGTTGTATACTATTGATAATTGGCTTAACACAATAAAACAAATAAACTCTATTTTGTTCACTTAGTTCACATTACTAATGTATTTATTAATTATATTTCCTAAAATTAAGCTATTTTTATCTCGTTTTTTATTTTATTCATACATTTGTGATTATGGATACGATTTTATTGCCAGAGTTATCAATACTTATATAAACAAATGTTATATTTTAAGTTGTTTTTACTCTTTAATAAATTGGATAAAACGATAAAATTTCTTACCAGCGTGGCACTCAACCAAGAATTAATCCGCAAAATATTATCATCATTGATTAATAAAGGATCGTATGACTTCAAAATTCAGTTACTTTGAAAAATGAATTGTGTTATACACAGTTCATACACATTATTTTAAATTCTCATGAAAATTATATTTAAAAGTATAAATAACTTTTTTTCGAACTTACTAGAATTCTTTTAAAATAAAAAAGTCAATAAATAAAAATAAAGGGAAATTAAGAAAACCAAGACGTTTCTACAATATCATCCAGAAGACTATGCCACATCGAGGCACGAAGGAAGAAACTTTCTGATACTACAGCAAACAAGCTTGTTGGCGGGGAAGTTTCATTTTCTACAAGTGCTTTTCAATTCTAAGAGGATACATCGCGTATAGCTCAGCTCATTTTTCTTGAAAATTTTTTATTCTTAACTTGTTTCCTTCCCATTTCATTAATTAAAGTTCATTTTTTTAACGAAAATAAATAATGATTTTATATCTTAAATGTCAGAAAAAAGAAATTAACGATGATTTCATTATACATTTATATAATTGATTCGTTTAATAATTTTATTGTATAATTTAAAGTCGTGGTTTTTCTAATATGATATGTACTCTTTGGAATTGCCAAGCTAAACTTGAATGATAGTCAAGTTATTATAAACAATCATAAAAGATTTAAGCTTATATATATACACTCCATCTACATAGGTAGCTATGTACGCAACTAATACTCATATTAGAACAAATTAAAAATCATCTAATTTAAATGTAGATTTTCATATATTAAGGATAAACATATCTCTTATAATTGCACATTAAAAAATAAAACAAAATAAGAGCTTATACAAACAACTATAATTGTTTTAAATCTATAAACAAAAAAAGTACGAGAAGAAAGTGCAACGCTTATAAAATCTGGAAGATGGTTTGAAAAATTTACATAATGATATTAGCTTTGAAACAATTTCAGAAATTCTAATTAAACCAATAGGATTATTGACAATGAAATAAGAAAAATCTTTATAATTTATTTTTCTTTTTTGCATTAATTTTCTTTTATAATTTTACATCATACCAAGATTTATTTTTCATTATCTCCGGGACCATCTTAGAGGCAAGCTGTATTAATGCGTTGTGCTATATATGTAAACTCCTTCTTTGGGCCATAAGCTGATATCGAATGATGAAAACGCCGATACTTATACCGTCTTTTGATTATTATTCATTTATATAAGACTTTAATTATGCCAACAGTAATTTGTAGTTTTTGGAGCCAAGAGTCACGACTAGCCAGAAATGCAGCCTAACTTGGTGCTATTACTGCTACTAGTGCTGGTACTGCTACTGCTGTTATTGCTGCTGGTGCTGTTGCTTCAGTTGCTGCTGCTGCCGCTGCCGCTGCCTGTTGTTGCCTGCTGATCACAATGGGAAATAACTGTGCCCTAAATAGAAAATAATCTTTAACTTCAATAAATTATCTACATTTATTGATTTTCTTGTTTACTTATTTTTATTTCTTTTACCAAAGATTTACTTTCTATTACACTTTTATTATTTTAAATTTTTTCTTTAATTTTTATTGCTTAATATGTGATGTTTTAAAATCTTTAATAATGGTTTCAATTTTTCAGTTTGACAGATGCTATAAGAATATGAATGGATTGAAAATAATCACCATTTATAATTTAGTATATTACTTGTATATTTTTTGGATAGATTGTAGGTAAACTCGCAATAAGTACTTATATTTAAGTGGCGATTATTAAAAATTAATTTTTCTTTTCATTGCAGCGGTAATTTTCAGTTTTCAATTACTCCATTTATTTAAATGTAGTTTAATATTTATATATAATATATGTAGTGTTATTTTCTGGAGACAATTGAAGATATTTTGATCATCGGAGTTCGACGCACGCATCCGAACCAATAATGAAGTTTAACGTTAAATACATATTTTTCTGTTATAAATAATAATATACATATATGTATTTGCACGCACGTGCGGGCGGGTAAATACATGTAATTGCAACATTATTTTTGATTGTAATAAATAATTCAATATTTATAATATGTATAATAAATAATTCAATTAAGTATATATATATTATTAATTTTTTGCTTTCACATTAGATTTATAAGATTTTCTTTAATATGTTTCTTTTAGTATTATTATTGTTATTATTATTATCATTATTATTGATTATTATTCATTATAAATTTCATCTGCCTTTATACAATTTTATATCGTAGTCTCAACTTGTCTTTTTTTTCTTTTTTTGATTTTCTTCTTGCCCTCTCGCCTGACGATGCTTCATGCTTGCTGAAAACATAAAACCTTCGTATGCTTCGCTACCTGCCAAATTAACGCCTGCGCCCAACGCCGAATTATGATAATCCACGAAACCATGACGAATGAACCAAAAAATCATGCTCTCTCGGGGAAAACGGGGATAAACGAAATCAAAAACAAATCCTTATGTAATGCTCTCTCGGATCAAAAAACGCTATCTGTCTCTATATCGAAAAAATGTTGAATAAAACACCTGTCGAACATGCCTTCGCTGTCACTCGCTCGCAGACAGGAACGATGCCGTTGGCTGGCGGTGTCTCGGCCAATGCCGTACCTGGAGGACTCCAGAATGCCAATATAGCTAGCATCGAGCTCGGAAAGAAGCGGATGCGTGACTCCAGTGATGATCTGCTAATGGTACCACGGCTTATGCATGTTTACACTTTTCAGTTCTTCTTTTACAAAAATGATAGCTATTTCGAGAATCCGTTATTGCACATTATTATTATTACCCAATTTATTCATACATATATGATGAAATGAGATATCAACTGATAGCGGTACTCGAAATAACTCAGTAGTTATTACACATTTAAAATATAAATATAGTTAATACGATTGTAAATACACTATTGAAACATGTTTAATATATATTTTAACATATCTTCTTTATCATGGCGTAATAATGTTTAATTATCTGTTTTATACATGAAAATTCGAATAGATTTTCGAATATACTTTAATTTAATATTGCGTGCAAGAAAATTATAATTTTTACACGTAGCTGGCAAAATACAGTTTCTTTGTATTATAACACAAGCTATTAATTATTACTTTAAATAACGCGCCATGAAATGTTTTGAAAATTTCTAATTTCATACTTTTTTTGATCATTGGAATCTTATCAGTGCATATTTCATAATGTATTTATAGATAGCTTAACAATATTTATCTCTGTTTATTTCTACGCTATTTCAATCGCTTGGGATATACTATTTATTACATTAAATGTTATTATAAAATTGCTTAGACATTCTTATTTTAATGTATGAATTTTAGTCCCAAATGATTTATATCATAATAAAATTATTTTATTTCCTTTATCATATATTTTGAAAACACATTACAGCAATTAAAAATAAAAATTAGTATTTCACACTCTTATTAAATTTATTTATGATTTGCAATAAAATTAATGAACTTATTATCCAATTACTAAATTAAAAATATGAGTGTGTTTCATGTTTTATTTGATTTAGAAAGCTTCAATTTGTATCTGACTTTAAAGTACATTTTTTATTTAAAAACCTAATTATAAGAAATTGTTGAGCTCTTGTAATTAAAAAGCTTGCGCCGATGATGCATGTTGTGCTTACGCGATCCCGAGGTGATGGTATATTGTCATCTCCTCATGAACACTCTGAACCATGATCGAGTGTTGTTTTTCTTTTAATAACTGTAAAATGAACCGATTCGTATATACTTGAATTATTTTCATAACAGTTATCTTTCAGTGATGAGATATGTTTTCCATGAACACTGTAGATTGCTTACACATGTCAGCTACTATTGATCTTTTACAGTATTTTTAATAAATTTATATTTGAGCAATATTTATTTACAATATATTATTTTAAATACAATTTTTTCATCATGCTGAATATTGGCCAAATTTATTTGTAATATATTATTAGTATTCAGATCATTTTGGTATTATATTAAAATGACTATAGTACAATAGATATTATTTCAACCATACGTATTTAAAGATTTTATAGTTTTAAATTATTATCATTATTACTCGTCATGCGTTTCCTAATGAAGTCAGCTTTAAAGCTTCTGCATCTCATCGTAGCTTTAATAAACAATAAATTTTCTTATGACAAATGTTTCATTTTTTCATTTTGCTTGTACATTGATTTATTCGCATTTATTTCGCATTATTATAAAATCAGCACTCGCTGCACTTTCATTTCTCTACATTTCTTTTACACTCAAATATATATTATTTTTCTTATCTTTTTACATTTTGAATGATAATTATTCAGTAATTGGCATCACTCGTAACATTTTTAACATAAAATGCTATTAAAAAATCTTAACTTAATACATAGGATTTCTGATTTACTTAAAATTAATTATTAATGTGTAATCATCCGCGATCATCGATCTGTCAGATTTATAAAAAATATTAACATCTTGATATTAAGATTATTGATAGTAAAAAAAAGAACAAAAATAATTTAATGATTACTAATTAGGAAAAACGCGTTTTAAATGAGGACTAAACTGCCGTAAGAGTGACTTATAATTGTTTATATATATAATTGAATCTTCGTAACAGCTGTTAAATATATTATAGCTATTGTGTGTATGTGTACACACACACACACTCACACGCACACAGACACAAAGACACACAGACAGATATATATATATATATATATATATATATATATATATATATATATATATATATATATATAACGCAAAGAAAAGAAATTGCAAATTATACTGACGAACTTTCTCTATATAAAGAGAAATTTTCCAGTTGAATTTAAGAAGGATGCCTGGTCATTTAACAACGTCACTGAAAGCTGCGTCATCGGCACAACTTATAACATCAATATATTATACCTCAACTTTTAGCAACGTAATAAGTGCCCTTAATCCCGCAAAATCCTGACAAAATAATTAAGACAAACCTTATTCTTAATACGAATTCAAAACAAATTTTGTCTTTGTTGCAGATGGACATGAAGTCTGTCGGATCACTTTACTACGAGAATTTTGTAAGTGCAGTCAAAACATAGCATCATATTCCTGATATTTTTAAGCTTGTATGTATAAAAAGCGTTCTCATTATTTATCTTTGCTGAAGACTGTTCTGTTTTTAAATAATATTTGTGCTGCTTAAAGCATATATAAATTTTTTTTGATATTTTGTAAAGCTTGTTTATTGTTTTTTCTTATTTTTATCACTTGATTTACAATCAGCATATTACTTTGATTAAAATTTATTCATGATAATAGAATTCATTGGATATGTACAAAATCATAGTTAAAAAAATAACAGCAGTATATATTAAAGAATGAGGTTATAATTATCAATTTCTCTCAATAATATTTTATATTCGTAATACTCACGGCAGGCTCTATATTGAGCCATTTCATAGAGAGAAAAAATAAATATTAAATAATTTTGAGAGCGTATAACCGATGTTCAAAAAAATTATTCAATTATAACATATAATCATTGGGCATTCTGCTACTCATTTTTTCAGGCCTTCCCAGGAATGGTACCGTATAAACGTCCAGCGGGCGACAAGTCCGGCGTACCGGTTTATCAACCAACCGGTGCAACAACCTATCAGCAGCTTATGCAGCTCCAGCAGCCCTTCGTGCCTGTGTCATGTGAGTACACTGGAACATCACCCCTTCCTGCCCAAAATTCGAATCAGTCGGTCGTTACCGCCGTGCAAAATTCGATACAAAGCCAAGGTAATGCGGTGAGTGCCGAGGCTGCCGCCGCTAATGGAATCCTCGTGGATCCGAACAATCCACCGCCACCTCCGCCATCGAACGCGAACAACGATAAACAATCGTCAAACGCGAATCACGAGTCCGAAACTTCTTCAGTCGTTGGTCAGAACTCTCACGAATTGAATCATTCGGGATCACCGCAACAACAGATTAACCAACAAATCCACCAAGCTCTGAGTGCTGCTGCCGCTCATAATGCTTCTATAAATACAATCACTTCAATGGCTGCTTTGAATACAGTTCCTAGTATAGTTAGCATGAATTCTATAGCTACAGCAGCTTCAATCACAAATATGAATTCTGTTGCGAATATGAACTACTCAATGGCAAACATGGCCAATATTAATGTCCTTAGTAGTCTCGGGATGCACTCCAATTTATCTTTTGACCCTGCAGTTTTGGCTAAGGAGGTCGCTCAAAAAAATTACGCGAAAGCTATTAAATTATCGCAGCAGGCCGCGGCATCTCAGCAAGTGGCAGCAGCCTCCTACAGTTTGAACCCTCTGAATGCTCTCAACTACACAGGCGTTGCACTAAATAAGCAGGCTCTTGCTGGTCTTAGTCAGCAACCAACTGGATTACCTGGAGCAGCTGGACCGAGAACAATGATTACAGGTTTGGGTGGATTGCATGCCGGAGCTGCAGGCTTGAGTTCACCTCTTCCAGCTGGCCTACTCGCATATCATCGACCACCACCAGCGGCTACACCAATAAATCCCTATTCTCTTATCAGACACCAGCAGGTTCTGACAACAAATCCCTATGTCCAAGCCTCAATCCCGACAGCTTCTGTTCAAACCACACCATACATTCAAAATCCGTATGCGATGATACCCGGTATGCCTGGTGTAGCAAGCGCTATACAACAAATTCCCACTGCCGGCCCCGCAACTATTGCTACCCAACCTCAAGTTGCTATTCCTGCAGCGAGTTCGGGTGTTATAATGCAACCTTATAAGAAAATGAAAACTACGTAAGTGATAATGTACATTTACGTTGCAACGTTCAGCGATGACGATCTCGGTAGTCATGAAATTCAGTTTGAGCTCGATGTTACAAATCAAGTTGATGCTTTTATTGTCCGCATATTATCTGATAAAAAATAAAATTCAGATCAATTGAACCGTTTGATACCTGTATTAGTATTTATATTATTGCATGTTAAAACTCATTATGAATATATTAATTTAAAAAATCGTGATAACTGAACTATTACTCGACTATAATGACGGTATAAACCAAGAGTTCCAAGAAAAAGAATAGTTTCATTTTCTAGTCAGAATCATCGCTAAACAGTGCCTTATTAAAGAAAGCATTGACACTTATCGTTTTCAGCAAGTTTCATTTATCGCAACTTGTTTTCTCTTTTTATTTTTAACGATTAATTATGGTATCGACGGATTTTATTAATGATTTTCTTAATGAATCTTCATGAATTAACTTGGTTAAATGTTCCAAGCATATTTCACGTAAAATATGTAGGCTTGTTTTATGTTAATTTTTAGAAAAAATAAGAATATTAAAAAATGGTGTTTGGAATTTTATATTTCTAATATTTCATAGAATAAAGATATAAAATTTAGATTTATAATCATAATTGGTTTACACAATTTAGAAAAAATGGCCATTTTAATTAAGATTTTATTTTTAAATAATATTATTTTCTTTCTCTTTATTACACCTAACATTCTATATATACAGAGAGAAAGATAATGAATTAAATTTAAATAATTCATAAATGAAAAGAATTATTTTTTTAAATAATTAAAGTAAAATTTTAAATAATTGTTTCTTTAGAATTAATTATTTTTGTGTTAGCATATTGATAATATTACCTTAAACAGTGTGTTAATAGAAAAATCTTTTTTCATTTTTTCTATTTCTTTGGTGAGATCTAAAATACTATTTTTTTATAACTATTCTATAACTGTTTCTCTTCCAACGTTCTTCTTTCTGTCTAACGATAATGAATATTTTTTGCATGTTGAAATTTGTCTTTTATTCTTGTAAGATAGTTCAATTTATTTTATCTCAGTATAGAGTCCCTTCAATTAGATATAAGTTCGTAAGTTGTATTCTATTATTCGAGTCATATTCTTACATTTTAACGAGTTATTTTTAATTAAACAAAGTTCCATTAATCAATTTGTTTCCTACGTATACCTTGCCTCGTGCGGAAAATATATTTTTACGGGAATTTGAGCTTTTTGTAAATTAAGTTTCTTTTATATTATAGTATCTGTTATTTTAATTAATTAAGACCATTTAGCATTACAGATACATGAATTTTATAAGCATTCTATCCTTTCCTTTAAAATTTCGTTGATTCAAATCGTGAGAGTTCGGAAATCCATTGAACTACATTGTATTTTACAAGGTAAAAGAACTGACAAAATAAAATCAATGCATTTTCATAAAAAATAACACCATAAAATCGTATTATTTGACTTTATAAACAGTCCACTTTGGTAACAAATACGAAGATCCATATTATGTATAAATACAGTCATTAATGTTATTCAAGATGACGATATTAACAGTATATAAATGATTATTGTAATGTATTTTTATGATTTCATTTAGAAATAGCCTCGAATTCAAGAAATATAAAAAGGTAGTGGTGAGCGAATAAACAAAATTCAGTGTTATCATTGTTCGTTGATGCGTGTATAAGTTTAACATTTCTATTAACAGAATTATGGCTATTAAAATCACAATTATATTAAAAATACAATCACAATATTAACAGTGCTGTTATTCTTATATTTAAAATCTGAGTTTTATAAAGAAGGAAATTTCTACTTTATTTATATAAATAGATACTTGCCAGTGATTTGACTCATTGAACAATCGCGTAATAATAAACAGATACGAACTCGATATAAAAGTAGAAAAAATATACACAAAGAGGGAAGCACACTGACTTAACGAGTCATGAAGTGTAAAAAAAAGTTCAAGTGCATTGTACAATGAAGTAGTTCAGTCGTATAGCGACAGAAGCCTCAATGTACCGCAAAGAACAGTGGCGCGTGTCGTGCGAACAATCGGATCTTTTACCTCAATGTTTTTATATACCATCAGAGACCGGACAAACGTGATTATAATTATTAACATAACGTAAATTATGAGATATGTAAGCCTATTTACCATCCGACTAAAAGTGCCACTCGCGCCTTTGTTCCTTAGTTGGGATACTTTAATAACTCTGCAAAATTAAAAGCGACTCTTCCAAACTATTAGTGAGAAGAATATAAATACGCACAATACTTTCGAAAGAAATAGACAAAATAAGTACACGTCTCTATATAACTGGCTTCTTCATAATATGAAACATTACTATTATGAGTGTAATATTATTGTAACGAGTATTTTTACTGTTAAAAATATTGTTCTGTCTTCCATTTATCGAAAGTGATAAAAAATATTTAGAAAAATTGTGATATTTGCCTTCTCTGTATTTTTTCGTTTGTGAAAAAGAATCGCTTTTTATGTTGCTGAGAGAAGTAAATAAAACCCACTTAATTGTGATAGTATATAGCCTGTAATACCATATAAGCCCTAAGCAAGAAGCTCATAATTAAATGTTTAATTAATATTGAAATAATGGATCGTGCTGATGTCGAGAATTTAAAATAACGTATGAAAATCAATTTCTAAATTTTATTCTCGATCTCACTGTACATGACGGCCTCTAATATTGATTTCGCGGTTGGCAAAAAAAGGCCTTGTATAACCAGACACCGAAGCCAGAGCGTGGTTTTGCAAAGGAACACATAAGTGTTAATGCAAATAACTATAATTCCTAATCTTCTGCGGAGCAGAATTTTTTTTATTAATAAAATAAAAGTAAAGCTGTTCCTGCAAAACCAATACAACATATTATTCATACAAATGTTTATTAACTCTAAATTAATGCCCAAAACCTTTAATATTTTTTAAAAGTTGAATTAAGATTGCGTGCTTAGTAATAAGTTTTACTTGAAAGTTAAAATATTTTATTGTCTTCTAGGACAGCAATGATTTAAACCAATTAAAAATTTTATTAATCTTTTAAATTAATTAATTTTAAATTAAAAATATAGATTGTGAAAAATATGAATGTGCAAAAAATATATTTTTCATTATAAATGAAAATAAATAAGTCTATAACGTTTAATAACTAGATGCAATATACAGCAATGATGGTTTTAATTTAAATATTTGTAATATGTTTTGATCGTTCCGATCTGCATTAAAGTTTTACTTGTATAAAAATCGTACTAGCTTCTATTTATAATTCGATAAAAATGAAACTTAAAAAATTATGTAAGTGAAATAATAAGTCAAGCGCTAAGTCGGAAGGTTTTGGGCATATCGAGCCATTTGTCACACGCGCATAGCGAAAGTGCCTTCTCTTGCACTTGACACTTCACTGCACAAGAATACATGTTCTATAACGTAGGTACATAATAAAAGATTATTAAAAAAATAAAAAATAAAATGCAAGAAAATATACTAATTATATACTTACACATTATATTTGTATACAAAAAGAATATATATATATATATATATATATATATATATATATATATAATTATATATACGCAATATTGATATGTTGCATAAGATGTGCAACGAATAAATATAGACATTATTTAGAACAGTATATCTGATGTATGTATATGAGTATATATAATAAGATAAAAACGAAAAAGAAGATAATATGAAGTATAATCACGTATATAGATGCATATGACAAGTAGTATTTATTCTTGTGTACTGTACTGTTTTTTCTTAAATTCTTCATGTACATTGTTATTATATCTGATATATTTACACGTACACGAATCCTGGCATATATATAATGTCGACATTTATATCTATCTCGAATATGCTACATTTATATATTATAAATACGACCCCGAGAATGCAGATGCAAAGCTTTTTGCATTCGTTCTTACAATATTCTGACCTAGGCTATTAAAAAAACGCTTATAAATGATATATCTTCTTGATATATATAAATAATATATATAAATTAGAAAAGAAGCGTGAAACGTAGAGCAATAGTTTGCTATATAGAATTGTTATAACGTAGATAACTGCTATTTTTTCATAATCTGACAAATTTTTTGGTACAATGCATTTGTCCACGTACTTCGAAAGCCACTTCACGAAAGATCGAATGCATTTTTGCGCATGCACGCTCACGGGGTTTGTAAGGAATCACCCAGTATTTGTAATAATAATGCTTGAAAAATGCATGAATATTTGTTTTATTAATGCTTCTTCTTATTTCATCATCCTCCATTGAAAGAGAAGAACCTTGTCCTTCTATTATCCTAGACTATCAGCTATATAAGAACTTTCACTTAGTAATAATTATTATATATAATTTCATATCTACACAACGTATAGAAATATGAACAATATTGCTCTTAGCCTCATGTTAGACTCTTGCTTCCAGCTTCCTATTAATCACAATCCTTTACTACTCATTATCATCGACCTAGTGCTTGCTACTTTTAGTTATAATTTTTTTCTTTATTTGTCCATTTCCGTAGATATGGGTGATCGTAATTTTTAAAAACAAACGTCTTCTATTTAGTTTAAAAGTTCGTGTACTTATTTTTCTATATTGTGTCTTATTTATGTTGTTCTTTATTTATTTAAGTTCGATAATGTATTTTCATCGACACTCGCTATTATATAAGCGTATAATTTCATGATTGTGATCAGTTTGTAATTTTGACATATTCTTTTCCTGTTCTACGAGTTTAGTATTTTCGATTAATTTTTGTATGTATTCTTATTAGCATAACTTATATCAAGCACAAGGTCGCTCTATTTTTTTAAGTAGATATTAGTGGCTTAAGATGCTCAGACATGAAACAGAGTCCAACTAATTTATCCAACTCATATATATATCCTAGTTTCCTACACCTATTTATATGCTAAAATATAATTCTGGCTCTATTCCATTGCTTCCCGATGCTTTAACCGCGCAAATCCAATGGCAAGAACAGAGAGAGAGAGAGATAGAGAGAGAGAGAGTGAAAAGTGATGCAACAATGAACACAACTGTAGAAATATGCCTTATCCATTATCCTTAAGATCGAAAGATCGCTACCTCCATCGTGCTGCTTGGTCTAAAGCACTATTAAATTGTGAATTTAAATGAAGAGCAAAAGGGTAATAGAAACAAAAAAAGTAACAACATCTTTTAGTTTGTGGGTTGGCGATTTGAAAATCAATTAATAATTGACTTTTGTGATTTTTATGGAAATTATGTTTATTTAAAGTACTACTTATACGTATTGTTCAGCTCTTTCAATGCTATATATTTTACTATATATATTGTTCACCATTTTTGCGTTATAATTTCACACAATCATATATAAACCAATTAAACGAGCCATTTGAAATGTATAATAGATTCAAATAAATTTTCTTTCTCATGCTTGTAAGAATACAAAAATAAGTTCTGATACGTATATCATAGTGATGTACATTGACCCATATGACCCATTTGAGATCAGAAGCACCATTTTGCAAAATATAATTTGACATTTATTTATTATTATTGAAGGCTAGTACCATTTTTGTATCAGGAGTGTCTTAAAGTGCATCCTCCAGACTATTAAATCTGTATTCGTGAATCTTTCCCTCCCTATTTTCCTCAACTTAATGTACTCTTTATCAACTGAGAACCATTTCTTAAAGTTACAGCAAATGTAGATTACTTGCTTTATTACTTCACAAATTTATATTTATTTTTAATGATATCACTATATTTGTTTATGTTTAAATAATCCTTAAAGATTTTATATCAAAATTTTGTATTTTATGTAAAAATGTTAGAATTACTTCAATTTAAAACTCTACAAAGTTACTTTTAATAGATTACTTTTTTAGAATATTTTTATACCATACAAAATACATTCATTAGATAATTGGTTGTACAAAAATATTTAAGTAATACTTGTAAGGGCTAAGAGCAACTATTATGAATACAGGAAGTGTGAATTTAGTAAAACTTATACTGTTATAAAATATAAAATTTGTTATTGCCTATTTTTATACAATAATTTTTTTAATATTAATATTATGAATTAGAATTAAAAAAGTAGGATGAAGAAGTACATAGAAAGATTTGTAGTAAATTTAATATTAGAATCTTGTATTTTATAATGAAATATTGATTCAGATAAATGCAGACGTATATTGGATGAATAAATAAATTGTATAAAACTCAACTTAAATTAAATAATTATTTTCTAACTCAATCCAAACCAATTATCTAATTGCTTCCCTTTTGACCTTAGAAAATTAGGAATACTATTGTATAATTTGATTGCATAACACGTAGTTTTTATTTTAATATAAAATAAAAAATTATTGTTTATAAAATTTTAGTTGCTTTAGAATAATTTGATTAAAATTAAGAATCATGAATGGGAATTATATTAGGAAACCGATATATTTTATCTCGGATAATGAAAAATGATCGATTTATTTTATTACTTTTTTTCAGCCTAATCAACCGGATTATATTTACCGAAATATATTTACTAATGACACTGCATGTTCTTTCATTATCTTTCTTTGAACTTTCTGTTTCATACTTGCCTTCATCTGGACGTCGCACGATATTGAACCAAATGAAAAAAACTATGAACAACGCAATGCTTACGCTCCAATTTCTCGTCGATCCTATCTGCCTTGCACGATTCCGCCAATTTCCTGCATCTACGATAATCCTGATACTGGTAATCTCTGAAAATTCCTTACCGAATCTATATCACGAATTACAAAACCTGGACTATAATAATAATAATAATAATAAAAAAAAAAAATTAAAATGTTTGTTATGGAGAAACATTTAATGCAATTAAAATAATTTTTATGTTTATTTATTTTTTATATTTATCAACTTTTTTATTCAAAATTATTACAAATTTGAAAATATTTGATATTATCTTTAAATAATATATATTTTATAATTGACTGTAATTTATAATATTAACCATCTTCTATTATAAAACATTTTGAACTGTCTAAATTCTCAAAATTATATCAAACATATGACATGTGAAACCTTTTAAGCACCTTATCATTTTTTAACCATTTGACTTCTTTACAATGGTCTATTTACAATTTTACTGCTTCAAAATTCCAAAACATATTGTATGTTGAAAACTATTTGATTCATACATACGTATAAACACAATTTGAACAATATATTTATATGTATATATATATCTATATACCCTGGCTCGGTTATATGTGCACTGCTGTCGTATTATTGTTATGCCCTGTTTTTGTTTTTGTAAACGAAAAAATTTCGTTATTGAATATATTTTTGATTAACTAATAAAATTATATACCTCGGTACATGGATAAAAATGTATCCGTAATTAACGTTAAAAAACTGTGGACACAATTCAATTTTTTCTAAACCCAATATTCATGTAAAAACAATAATAATAATAATTTCCATTTTTCTACATTGGAAAAATTCGAACAAAATTAATTCCTACATACAAAAAAATCAAATCGCCACACACTAACCGTTCGACATAGGAACGGATTCTTGGACACATTCAACAACGAAAAATAAACAAACGCTTTAACGCATTTTGTATTAATGCATCGCCTTATTTCGAAAATTCCTTTGGACATGTACCTGGGTGCTCCGAGGGCACGATAAAACTCGTGTCAACTATGGTTTCCGGTGCATCCTGTACTGAATTCGACTGAATGGTAATGAAAATATAAAAAAAATATACCTCGAACACTGCCTCGTTTGCTGCATGTGGATCGCCTTAGCAGCCTTAGCCACTGTTGGGGCCCAAGTGGTCCCTCAAAACGCTCACTGTGTCATCTACACAGACAGCTGCGGACAGGTAGACTCATTATTGTAACCAGTTTTTATCTTGATCTCAGACCTGCCTTGTAACTTTATAGCAGATAATTTTTGGTTCTAACTCTACATGTTTCTTGCACTGTTTATTTTCATAAAATTAGCAACTCAATTATTTTTCTATTGAGTTGAAGATGGAAACGACATATTTACAACGCAGGTATGATATCGTAATGCTGCTAACCTTCAAGTTCAAAGAAATAACCAACAGACATTAATATTTACAATTAATTTGGATTGGAACTTTTTCCACTCAAGATTTTATGATAAATAAAGTAATGTTTATGTACGTACATACACACACGCACACACACAAATCACACACAAATCACACACAAAACTCACACACATTTTTGTATATGTACGTATAAATAAAATAAAATTCTATATTAACACTGTTTGTGTTTTCGATTGAACTTGGCTAACACGTAGCTTTGAGGGTATTTCCCTCACGACTGCTCACCGCAACTATAACTGCGAATAACCACTGCCTTACCTGGTGTTTGTCTTTTAGTATTATAACTTATACTGTTATTGTAATTACATACATTATTTGTCATGATTATTGTTATTATAGTTGAATTTTTCTGTCCTGTTTTAGGAATCGACACTAAATTATTTATATCACAATAAAAATTAGCACGCTTTTATCACTCGAATAAATTGAAATCAATAAATTGAATTCTTAAATTAAACGTCTTCACTATAAATTTATAAATAATTATTTCAATATTTTTAATTTATTTTTAATTATTTTTAATTAATATAATTTAATAATAATTTATTTTATTTCTATTAAAAAATTCTATAATGTAATTATAATATTTTTTCGTGTTTGTCAATATACTGAGCTTTGATTTTTTAATTTTTTATTGCTCAAAAAAATAATTTTTCTCGCTGATTTCACTGCAATAAAGCATTTATAATTGGGGATACAATATTTAATTATTTAGCACTTTTGCTTGCCTAGACATAAATGCTTATTCGAATACGTAGTTTTATAAAATTGCTATTTATTTAAATATTTTAAAGTTTATCGAACGCGATTCACAATACTTAATCAATATAACTTACAAAGCCTCAGTCCCACATCACTGCATTTTAAAAACCTTCACGAGTTTTCTTTAGACTTTTTGTCTTTGTTTATAACATATCTTCACCACCGGGTATGGATTGAGTGCAATATTGAATTACCGAAAAATATTTTTTCTAATTTATTTTTCACATCAACTATTCTGGATACCAGAATGTATATTTCTTAGTAAGAGAATAAAGAATTAATACATACAAACCATGGCAAGCTTGCCGTATTGATTGACCCTATTGTTATGGTTGCGGAGTCGCAGTTGATCTAGTTTGAACTTATTTGCAGTAGAATATATTAATTTGACAGCTTTATGACTTTTCCAGTACCTTAAAATTGTTTACTATACATACTTTTTCTTAAGACAATTTTTGTTTAATCTCAAATTGGAACGCTGATGGTGCTGCTGTTTATCGCTGCCCTTCGATTCGCTGCTTCGGTTATTATGTAAAATATATTATTTATCATTTTTTATAAATATATTATTTATGTTACATATCATAGCCGAAATATCCAGATAATTATCTTTTATCTTATAAATTCGTAGCTTTATAAAGTAGTGAGTGACTGTGTGTTTGTTTCTCTTTTTTTATCATTTTTCATATTTTCTCTCTTGATACGTCTGCTACACCCTTTTTTTTTTCCTTTTAAATTAACGAAACATAATCGTTAGAAGCGAATCGATTAAGCGCGATACGACGTTGGCCCTTGGTGGCATCGAAATGCTTGGGTGATTGAAATACGGCAAAGGTATTATACTAGATAGAAAAATGTATAAGTAAAATTACTGAAATAAGGCTAATTTTTCATTTTTATACTATTACAGTATTTAAAAAAATACTATACTCTAACGAATGGGTAAACTGATCTGAATGAACGTAAAATTTAGTTTTTAATATTAAGGTAGAAAAATATGAACTTTTACGGAATTTTGCGAAATTTTATTTGATAGCTTTTAATTTTTCAAATGTCGTGTTTGCCTTTTTTTGTTCTCTCAAGATGTTTCTAATGTCTTGCATGTTTTCATGATTTTTGAGTAACTTGTGTATATGAGTTATATCAATTTCTATATTCTATTTTATAAATAAATAAATAAATAAATATATATATATATATATATTCATATGCTTACCGTCCTTCGGTTAAACTAGACCATTGTCGTTCGAGAAAAAACTACTAAAGATAAGTTTAACAAACATTATTCTTTAGACTGTTTAATACACTTTTTTTATTAATATAATTAGCTTGTTGAAATTCATTTTTAAATAATTGTAAATAAGGATTAGCTATGTAAATGATTATATATACGTAAATTTTGTTTGTTATTCTTTCGTTTTTTCCAATTAGTTAAATTAGTAAAGACTTCTAAGTTTTTTCTTTATCACTTGCTATATTGCGATTTATCTTTAATACCATCACCCAAGCACTGAACAATTTTTTCAGCAAACTCTCTTCCGGGCCATTATTTGCATGACAAGACTCTGTGTTTGTAGCAAATTATATCTTGATATGCAATTGCAAGGCATTATTATATATTATTTATTCTTATATTTCACATTATTATCGTTATTGCTATTGCATATATTATTTACTATAATATATTAATTGATACTCATATTCGCGATATATAATTTATGAATTATTCTTATCTAATTTATAGATTTATATATTCATATTTTTTCGATATCTTTCTAGTTAAGTAATACGCCAATTTGAATAAAAGTGCCAAGTTAAAATTCTATCTTTGGATCTATAAAGGGATTAGCACCTATCATTCTTTATAATTTTGTTCAAAGCATTGAAACTAACTTAATTTATTCTTATTTGTTACTACTGTTTCTATTTAATTACGTCTCATCAGCTGTATTAAATTTGCACGCTTTTATATTAATGGTGAACTTATGGTATATTTAACTATTTTGCGCGATTTATGATCTCTAAATAAATTGGTATATTCTTTCATTTTTCTATTTGAATACCTCTCTAACAGGTTATTATAATGCTTTGCTGCATTGTAAACACATGAGTGTATATTTCTCACGCGTATATGTGATTTACATCGACATGAGATTTCAATGTTTTTATTTTTGTTTTATTCAATATTTCTATCTCTGTAACCTATTTTTCTGTTTTTAATAATACATAACTTTTAGATTCAAGTGCGTGCATATACCTATATAATTAAAAATATATATTTTTGCGAGACGTTTCGATTAATAATTATTTAAGGAACATATATTTAATATTAATTATCTTTTCTTTTGATTTCAATCTTTTTTGTCAAAATATTAAACAAGTTATTTTGTAGTAGTGTAAAGGTTGTAAGTTGTTTTTTTTTTGTAAATAATATAGAATTTGTTAGAATATATTTCGCAACTAGTAAATATTTTTTAATTTAAGAAATATTAAATTATTGCTATATCACTTATTTTTATATTATAAAATAAATTTTTATGTGTCTTATTTCATATATATATTATTGGCAATTACGAAATGCATGTTTAATATATTTCGAATAGAAAAATAGTCAAGTATATTTATATTTAAAAACTGTTAAAATAGGAAATTCTTGCATGTTTGTAAATACAATAAAAATTTAATATTTCAAACAAAAATTTTCATTTATATTTCTTGTCGTGTTCTAAATAACCGTTGCTTATATTTCATTTTATTCTTGTAAGAAACGTCTCGCACATGCATATCTTATTTAAATAAGCGAAAAAAACTTGCACGTATTTTATACGTTACATTTGCTTATATTCGAGTTCTGGAATTCATAATAGTTTAACAAAATTTTTTGCTTTTATATTCTCGATTATAGAATACATAATTCAGTAGATGAAAATAATGGTAAAATGATTTTAAAAATATAAAAAACAAACGTGCTCTTGTTTAAACTTCATAACTCTTTTTTAATAAATCATTTTTGGCAATCAAATGGAATAAGTCTTATAAATTATATCTTTAGATTTCATATAACTAATTTTTTGTAAAATTTTCAAATTAATATATATATATATATATATATATATATATATATTTCTAAGATTATAAGTAGTATTATGAAAAAAGAGATGATAAAATTGCAAGAGCACAAATATTGATTACAGTAAAAAAATTCTGCTCTTATACTTATACATCTATATGCATTTACATATGTACAGATAATATTACGAACGATGGGATTTTACTTCATTTATTAAAAATAGATAAATACGCTTAAAAGTACAATAATTTTCAATAGTCATATTAATCGCCAGTCAAAAATTTACACGTATATTAGACCATAAAATATTAAAATATATAAAAAGTAAATTAAGAATACGAAAAGTAATAAGTTCAAAGTAATAGTTTTAATTAAAAGTTTACACGAAACTTAAATGTTGCGGTGGATTAAAATAAATCAGTTAAAGAGAAGTATAAATAAAGTGATCCAACTTGGTATTTGCTAAAAGTGTTATGATATTTTATACGTTACAAAATAATGAAGAACAAATACAGATTGTTAATAGTATTAAAATTTTCAGTCAAGTTAGAGCTTAATGGCCCGTCGAGAATACAATATTCATAAGCATAAATTCACGTAAATCTTGCACAACATATACTTGTGTTTTCAAAATATTTCTTTGTACATCTTTTTCATTTAAATTATATTATAATAATATTTTTAATTCTAAATTTTACAAATTTATTAATATAGATATATTTTTTAAATATTATTGTCTCTCATATCTATAATAGATACATAAATTTTTCTTTTTCAGCTTCTTTATTTATACAAAAATATTTATTTAATAATTTAAAAGTTTTTGAACTTTTATGAATAATTTTAAACATAAAAAATAATTCAAAGCATTTAAAATTATTTTACGTTCTGATATCCCTTTCCCCTTTCATTTCTCTTTTTTCTAATTTTTTATCTTAAAAAAAGAAATTTTTGTCTCCATTTTATTTAATTTGTTTAATTACTTTTTATAACTTCATAACGCCAATAAAATTAGAAATAAGACATTGAATAAATAAAAATGTATATAGAGTAGGCGGTCATCACTCAAGCATTTCGCGGCATGAGAAAAACTGACGCTCACGTATGCGGATTATAACATTTTAACGAAAATGATTTTAATTGAATACAAAAAGCTGCAGGAGTTTCGAGATAACCGTCGGTAATTTATTCCAAGTTTTGAATGACACGTGCTTTTTCAAATTTTTGAACACAGATAACCAAAGTTACGAAACACTAGAATATTTGAAAAATGGAAAATAATCAACTTTTACAACACTATTTCAATTTATCATATAATTTAATTACGATAGAACTATACGGTAGAACTCAAAACAAATTTATTCATATTTTTCATATAAATATCAAGTATAGTTTGCTTTCTCGGGGATTTAACATAATTCTTCTTTTAATGAAATTATTCTTCAATGTATTTATACAATATGAAATACCTGCTAATTTTAACTTAATTTTATATTGTCTGATGAATTAAATTGTAATTATCTTTTTATCAAAATAGTGAAATGTACACAAAATTATAATTTTTTATATTTTCTTTATTTTCTTTATTTTAATTTTAATAAAAACATTATTAAGATATATTTATAAAAATAAAATATTACCATTATCAAAAAAAAATAGAAATTCAAATTTAAATATTTCATTTTTATAGTTATAATATTAATATTTGTATATTGATATTATACATTCGTTAATTATCTCTTCTGTTATTTTAAATTAAATGGATAGAGATATAATTTTTGCAAGTCATAATAATGTTCAAATATTTATGATTTAGTTAATTTATTATTGTATTAAATCATGTATATTTTGTTTTATTAAAAATATATTTTTAAAAATTGTAACAACTGAAAATACAAAAGTTTTAAAAATTTGATAATTAATCATTCTCGTAATTCGGAATTTTGGTTAGTTCTGCCACTTTTGATATAGTATTTGTGTGGGTGTACGTGTGTAACTTATTTCATAAATATTATATATTTTTTATTATAGTACATAATGATGCAGCATAACGCTATCTTATTTGATATTTAAACATCGATTTTTAATAATTTATTTTTCTATTAATTATTTGTATAATTAGAACTGAAGTGTACATTAATTTGTCATAAGTATTGTGATATTGTAAAATTTTGAAAAGACCTTATATCCTTGATCACCTTATTAAAAAAATACAAAAAGATAAATTTCCATAATGAAATTAAAGAAAAAATTTAATAATGAAAACGTTCTACTGCAAATTTTTATCTTGTTAATAAAGAAATGTACGAATATTCATTGATGTTTTTAATTATTGCAGAGCCTAATTATTAATAATAATTAGTAAAAAATAATAATAATAATATTTTCATTTCATTTTAAAATTAAGTTCGTGTTCCAGTACTTTAAATTAATAATTTCTAGTTGAATATTCGTACATATTTAATAATAATTATATGACTTTTCATTCGATGATGCAGATTCGACAGTATACGACTCGTAATTATGCTCTAATAAAATGGACCGCAAGAGATTAAAAGAATGAATGTAATAATATGAAAGATTTCTAGAGTGAACGTGTAAACGATAGAAATTCGAATGAAAGGAATGAAATAAACAGTGGATTGACAAATGTGTGATTGTAAAAGAGCTTATAATTCGTTATAGTTCTACTATTTTAATTTATTTTTAATTTTTTTTTTTTTTTTATTATAGTATATTAACAAATTATTTACTATGTTATTGCGATATTTTCTTACAGTTACTGGACACCCTCCAGGTGTGCCAAGATTTTAATCGACAACTCTGCAACCGTTCCGCCTGCAAGTTCATTCATCTCCACGACGGTGAGTACTAATGGTGATGACAAATGATTCCTTTAGTGTATGCATGATTAGAATAATAAAATTAAGTACTATTAACTCTTTTAATATTTTATATGTATTTCTTTTTAACTATTTTTATAATTGTCTATTATATTATTTCATGTACTATATATATATTCATTCTTGTTATTATTTTTAATCAGTAATTGAATTCCATAAAAGTTATAAGTATTAATACACTTGCCTTAAAAATTAAATACATTTTAGTATTTAAGAATTGAAGCAAATGAAAATTAAAATGTATTTAATATTTGATTAAAATTAAAAAATAATATAAAAATAATTTATCCATAGAGTATAATTTTTTAAATTCTTATTAATTATATTTAAATAATTATTTAAACTATAACCAGTTCTCATAGATAATGGGAAGAATTTTCTTTTACATTTTATATCATATATAATAAATATTAATCTTATGTATTATGTAGTAAAAATGTTATGTATTATAAAATATCTACATCTTATATTATATAAAAAAAATTACGTTATATAAGTACATTAATGAATGTAAGCATTACAGCTATAAAACGTAAAAGTATGGAAGAGTTATATTGTTAACATGAGGAAAACACGAGTTGGTTGTGCCCTAAAATAATACTAAATGTCATTGGATGATTTTGTTTTTTCTTTTTTGCAGGAAACGTAGAGGTGATAGAAAACCGCGTAACTGTATGCAGAGATGCAGTTAAGGGCACATGCACGCGGCCTCAATGTAAATATTATCATATACCGGTGGCATTGCCTCCGGCGCCCCTAATGGCTGTCAACAATTCCGCATCTCCTTAGCCGGTGCTTCCACAATAATGATTATATGATGTGCGATGCACAAAAAACACCTTGCAGAGAATTTCAATCTTTCGAACCTTTTCACAAGTTCGGTTTGGAAGATTAAGGACGAATAGATAGAGAGAAAAAGAGGCATAGAATGAATGAGAGTAAAGGAGAATAATAAATAGATCTTGATTGTAAAAAAGAGAGATAAAAAGAAAGAGAGAGATTATGGTTTTCTCTTTCAATTTTATCAATAATCGTAGTCAATAGCCCTTTTTCTTCCGTATGTACACATTCGAAATTTAAAAAAGAAAAACAAAAAATTCTTCGCCCATTGACGACTCCTTATTAATCACTCTGTTTCTGTAATGGAATGTCATCAATATTCAAGAAGCAGTAGTTTTTCTTTTAAAACTTTAAAAATTGAATGAAGTAAAATTAAAATTAAGTATCTGCAATGTGAGAGAACCGGCAGATTGGAGAACTGATGTATTTGTGATGTTTCTTTTAATTTTTTTTCGTACGTTGTTTTGTTAGTCTATAGGTATCTACTACGTTACAAAATTTTTATTACATTTATTATTAAATTATAATGGTTAAATTGTAAAATGTCATGATTAATACATTAAGTAAGATTATATTATGCTAAGTTTATGTTTCAGTTATTGTAAATCAATTGTTATTAGGGAAGATTAATCGGAATATGTAACTTAAATCATTTATACGATATCGACGGAGAACGAAATGGGGTAATCAAGCCGACAGTGTTTTTAAACGCATTTATCGGCGACCAAGTCGACTGTCGCAAATCTATATTTATATAAAGTTTGTGTCTTGAATTTTTTCCAAATATGTTCTTACATCGTACAATACAGATTTATAAACAATGTAAGAAAACATTTGTACAACTGCGTTGCTTCCCGTCATACTGTGATTATATTTTCCTACGTAAGAAGGAGACTTTGATTTTTTTATTTTTTTTATAACACGTTATTTGAACAATTAATTGCAATATATCGTTATATTATAATGATTCTTATTTGTATTAATATTTTATTTTTATTATTATAAAATAATATTAATATGTTATAACTGATTTCATTAAAGCCTTTCATCAATTTGTACTTCGTTTTCTTTATACATTCGGATCATTTTAAAGTCAATATTTAATAATCATCAGATAACTTTATTTCAAGTTCACTGCGCTAATTTCCGACTCATATTTTTTAATTGTTAACGAAATCATCATATAAAAGCATAAGAGATTTTCAACGATGATAGTCATTTCGAATATTAAATTTTTTAAACTTTTCTAAAGGATTAATTGAAACTAGTATTTATTATTAATTACTTTAAATTTATATTGAACAAACTTATAATATCGCTTGTATATATTTTCCAAACTTTAATTAAGAAAAATCATCGCACGGAGTAATAAGTATAATAATATTCTCTTTCATTTAAGAAATTCTTAACATATTTTAACCAACCTTATGTCTATGTAATGAGTATTTTTAATTGGAGATATATTTATACATGGTGTTACATGTTGATTCTAATTAATGAATGTAAGAGCGTCTGCCTCGATTATAAAATATGTATAGAATCAAATCTTTCGATTGATAAATCAAGTGAATAACAAATATAAAAATACGTATTATATTATATTAGATATAATGAGTTTGTACCAATTTTTGATCGTGCATTAAAATGAATTGATAAAAAAATACAAATGAAAAAGAATAACAATTGGTAAATTATGAAATTTTATTAAACATTGTACTGTATTACATAAGTAGAATAATTAGGGCACGTGGCCAACACGTTGAACGAATAATATTAGATATATATAATGAAATCAACTTGAAGTGTCGGATAAGAGTGAAAAAATTAATGATGAAATTTTTTACTCTTATTAACAAAGATTAAGCATAATTATATTTCGATTTTTATCATATACACGCGTATATGTATATAATGAAAAGGTATATATATAAATATACAAGTATTGGAGGCTTTGTAAGAAAATTAAGACGTATGGTATTTAAAGTTTGAAGATTAAACACTATAAGATAAGAAAAATGAATAAAGAAGGCCATTTATAATTAAATAAAAATAAACTACATATAATAACACCACAATTAGGAATGTAGGTATTTACGAAATATCTCGGAAAGAAATAATACATTTCTTCGAGAGCGTAAAGAACGCGTTTATGATTCTTAGTTTAGAGTTCGATATAAAAATTGGTGCAAGAGTCATGAATGAAGTATATCAAAATAAAAAGTACATAACAATACGAAATAATGTCGAATCTTCGACGGATAACGGTACTATTTAATTAATAATTTTAGTTAACTAAACAAGAAATTGTATATGTAATAAAAATTATATTTAATTAAATATAGATTTTTGAGGGACGATTATGATAAATGACAAATGATAAGAAACAAGAAATAAAGGTAGAAATGAATAATGTCGATATGTATACAGTTTTCATATAAACACAAAAAAACTTTTAAAACATGTATTAACGTGACAAACAAATCAGTATATAAAATCAAATAAAATAAGAGTTTTTTGTATGTAATGATATAAACAGAACACAAAGCTCGGTCAAATCGTGAAATACTCAATATATGTGAATTAAAGAGAAAATAAAGGCTATAAATAAGAGAAGATCCAATTTAAACAAAATAAAAAAATGCAAAAGAAATTATTTAAATGGACCCCACGTGTCCTCGCCACCTCTTTATAATATATGAAATGATTAATTTTTTACATCTTTTCAATAAAACGAGTTATTTTAAAATCAGTATAAAAAAATTATTAATTCTGAGGTGGAAAAAAAGATAGGCCTAAATTTGGAGGAGCAATTTAGAAACAAAGACAACGTTCTTTCTCAGCCACGTGAATTATATTTTGTAATAGATTCTTATGTTATAATGCGGGCACGCAGAAATAGGTGAGTTTAAGGCCATCAATTATAAACAATAAGACTCTCCTGTCTGTTGTATAAAACTGTGATTTGATCGTGATTTTAATTTGCTATAAGAAAATAACATAGAAAGAGAATAACAGTTGATAAAATTATAACAATAGACTCGTCGTTCGATCGCCTGGCGTCGAGAAACATGAAAAACGAAATGCTTGCTTTGCTGTAAAATAAAAAATAAGAATGTCAAATTTGACCTTGTCCTTTTTTCGTTCATGAGTAAAGTAAGCATCGGAGATATGTAAACTTGGACCGTCCACGTTCAAATAAAAAGAATAAAATAAAAGGAACAAATAATAACGAATAATTATTAGAGTAATATAACACGAAGGAAAAGCTTCTTCGGTGAATCCGAATCGTTCTGTGATGATAATTCAAAATTCCTTCACATTAACAAGCTGAAATAATACGAAAATATCGAATAATATCGGAAATGAATAAAAAATGAAAGAACAAATTTTTAACTAGTCATAAAGTGAATGTAAAAGCCTCTCTGTGTTTGACGAGAGGCCTTTATTTAAAACAGTAAATAATTATAAAGTAAAAAATAAAAGAAATAAATCAAGTCTCCTCTTCCTTTCTTGCAGAGAATAATTATTCTATAATAATCATCAATTGAACGAATACACTAAATGTAAGCGAGAGATATTCTAATTAAAGAACAAGATTCAACGAGTGAAGGAAGTAAATGTTCCTCTACAGCATTTAAGAATCAAACAACTCATTTTATTGACCGAACATTAAACACATAACTAACATAAACACACTAATATAAACAGATTTGGTATCGCAACAAAATAAAGCACGCAACTAAACACACAAATAGTCTTTGGTATTACAAGGGAAAGGTTACTGAGGCTGCCATATATTTTGTGACTAGCTGATAGTTGAATATTGTAAATTAAATCTTTGTACATAAAGTAGATAGTTCTATTGTAAGTAAATTAATTAAATTAATCGAATAGTATATATTATAAATTAATGTAAGTTGATTAAAATATTGGATTGTTTTGTTTCATTCATTTGTTTGTGCAAATACTAATATGTGTTTCTCATTAATAAGATTTAATGTTTACGACAGTTATTGCGCAAGATTGTTTTTTGTCTAAAACTAAGTTATCAATTATTCATTTGATGTTTAAATTGTCATTAACGTTCATCTGACATTTGAACTATCGCTAAATGGTTATTCAATGTTTTGATAGTCATGAACTGTTGATTTGACATTGTGATCATTAATTATGGTTTATAATCATAGTATTTCTTTAAGAAACTTAAACTGATCAAACTAGACGGAAAAGGCCATACGGACGAGCTCTTCCATGCTCGTATTAAGTGTATATATTAATTATATAAAATAAAATAATATTATATAAATATCAGAGAAATACTTTACCCACAAAATAATATACTTTTTACATAAGTCAAATTATATACAGTTTATAAAATAGAGATGATTTAAATACAATTGAATATAAATTTTGTTATTATTTATATTCATAATGAAAATTTTATTTAAGAAATAAATTAATAATACGTTAAAAATGATTTTCAATGATTTTATTATAAAATTTGAATAATCGTGAATTAAAAAAATAATTATTATTTTATACTTTAAGATTAAGTGAAATAAGTTCTATATTATTTTTAATTGCTAAAAAATCTATGTCTTTCCCTTTGAATACCAAAACTCTTAAGATTTTAATAAATACTGCGATTGGAGAACTAATATGAAAATGATAATGTTAATAAATAAAAATATTATAATACATCGTAAATATAGTGGAAAAAACAAAAACATTCATTTCAACCACCACATTATAAAATCATAAAATTCAAATACATAAAATACAATAAAAAGTAATAAAAATAAAGTAAAGAAAAGTAAAATTAATAAGAGAGTAAAACATTTACAAATTCACCGAAGATTTGAGCTTCCTCTATATGAACTTGAGTCAAGGGATTTTAGCCGCTATAATAAAGACAATTAATACAATAGGCAGTATTAATTTCTAATGGAATCGTATAATTTTCTACATTCCTATATATTCACCTATACTCTGAAACCTCTAACATTTGATTACATTTTTGCTCGAAAACATTGATCCAAATGCGTTTTCAGTATATCGGATGATCAAAGTGCAACTTTTACTTTATATA